GATTTTCGGGTTGCGACATCACGTAATGCACTTGATCTTGCATTAAATGTTGCTTCCTATTTATGAACAATGCGTATATTGTTCTGAATCTGCAGATTCTAACTTTCACAAAATCCTAGGGATTAGCTACAGAGACGTTATCTTTATCAGAAAAGTAGGTGTCCTTTTTCTGACACACTCGGGATTTGACGTTTTGTGCTTACTTTTCTTCTTTCTTCTTTTCTTCTCACAATTTCGATGACTTCGTGTGTTCTCCTGTGAGTGTGGACGATATTTAAATTTTCCTTTGAAACTTGATTCCTCAGGTGGTTACGTGACAATTTTTGTCTACGTCTAGTAGTCTATATTGTAGCTCAAGCCTTGACCTTTGTCTAAGCATTTTCTATTAACGCATTGACTTTTTCTTTCATTTGGTCAACTTGTATATGGTTAGACTTTCAAATTATCTTTGACCAACCTTCGTCTGAGTCTTTATGTCTTGCTTTAGGTTGTACTTGACGCGCTTTTGTCTTGTTCTTGATTTGACTTGTTGGATGCTTGTGTTGGCCTTTTTTCTGTCGTCTTGTATCGTCTGATGCATATGCATGTTCTTCACTTTACATGTTCTTATGTTTATCTGAAACACTAACACACTTGTTAGAGATAACAACATGTATTATATTTGTCTCACTCAAAACCTTGTTGGAAGTTTCTTCGTCGGACTCACTAGTACAAGATGAATATTCTACATCGGTTCTCTAAAGTCATCTACATCGATTCTAAAACTGATGTAAAATAGAGCAACGTAGAAAATGTATACATTTTTACATCGATTCTAGAACCGATGTAGATTTATGCTTAAATCTACATCGATTTTCTTGAGAACCGATGTAGATTGCATTTAAAAAAAAACCATGCTTATTTTTTGATTATTTCTGATTACCTGTAATGAACATATATATATCTTTAGAAATTTGTTTACAAATTACATAAAAAATATTTCACACGTTCCAATTAGACACATGTGCAGAATCAAATATGTGTAAAATCTTACAAATGATAAGTTTTTAAACAACTAATTATTTATTAGGATAAAAGTAATCATAATAGATGGCAAATTTTTTGGATCAATCATATGTTCTGACAAATGGAATAGAAATCATTTATTCAGTAGCAATCATAATAGATGGCAAAAAGGTATAACTTCTCTTTCTTCCTTTAGTTAAAAAATAGCCTCAGAGAGTTGGCAACCATCTTTATACATACATGCGAACAATAGACCAGCCAATCAATCTGTCTATCAAAATTAAGCATGAAAAGGAGACATACCATATTCCACATCCTCCAATACTGATGGTGGCAGGAGTAGCACAAATACAGGTGACAAAGATAGTAAGTCACAAATTATCTTTATGAAAGATTGAAAGTACTGTAAGCAAACAACTAAATACAAGGGCAACATAACATACTTCTTCAATAGTTTTGGCATTCCACCAATCCTTGTAAAACTCACAATCACCAAATCGAAGAAGCTCTGCCAGTATATTTAACCTACATTGCAACAGTTGCTTCAGATATTAACCAAATCTTAAAGAAACAAAGCCGAACTTTTTCACAAATAAGACAAGCAGATAGGCATTTATGAATCTAAAAGTAAATCTATTTTTTAAGAATAATTCTACAAATATATGAAAAAGGTGCAACAATGAGAAAAATAACATCAGCAACCACACAAAAAATATACAAACTCATCAAGTAAAATATACAAACAAGAGATGGAATACCAAAGGTGGAAAAAGCAATAGAACATGCAGAGCCACACATATAAATTTGGAACAAAAAGCTTCAGAACTCTCTCCATGGCATAGAGAAGGTTTCCCTTGAAAGGATGCTGCGAATTTTGTATAATAGGATTGATGTACTGCAAAATTAAATAGTGAAAAAAATGTCAGAATACCCATGGAATTGGTAAAATAAAACTCAAGAAAAAAAAAGAAAAAATAAAAGAAAAGTTAGAAATGAGCATAATTTATTAAAAAGTAATGCTTACTTGTTCTATTATAAATCCCATAACTCCTATAAATATTATCAGCTTGACAAGCTGACGAATCACCCAACCCTTTCGAATATAAGGTATGCGAGGATAGCTTTCCTAAAATAATAGTTCATAAAACAAAATACATGTGAAAAACTTCCCAATGACAAAAAAATAAAATTAACAGATGCAATCACATTGAGAAACATTTATGTAGAAAATCTAAAAACAAATGAACTGCAGAAACCTATTTTAGTTCAAGCAAATTTTCTGCAAACTAGGTGAACACTAAGATTTTCTGCAAGCACTATTGATGGAAGCACTTGGAGAAGATTGTGATTCTTCCAAGCTTCCATGCAAGGACCGAGATGCTCCTTGAGGTTAACACCTTTAGAACTCTGAAATATCCTTTGAAGTCGCTTGAAGGTCGTTCTGAAGTTTTTCTACTTCAAGCTTCATCAAGGACAAATCTTTCTCAAGGGCATTAGCGGCATCGGCCGACTTGTCCCTTGCCAGGCGTGTCTCGGTCAGCTCACTCTCCAATGCAACCTTCTCGGTTACCAAAGCTTGCTTCTCATCCTCGAAGATGCGACGCCCTTCCAGCAACTTATCCCGCTCATTAACCACCCATTTAAAATCCACCTTACATTTAAAATCCGCCTTCCCGGTAAAATTTCGATTAGACCCCCCACTCGTCTAATATCCGACTGGTCTTCCAGGCCACAAGCCCTCTCGCCTTATCGGCTCAGGGCTGGAAGGCAAGTGTACCTGCCCGGTAAAATTCCGATTACACCCCCCACTCGTCTAATATCCGACTGGTCTTCCAGGCCACAAGCCCTCTCGCCTTATCGGCTCAGGGCTGGAAGGCAAGTGTACCTTCCCGGTAAAATTCTGATTAGACCCCCACTCGCCTAATACCCGTCTGGACCGTCACAGCGTGCAGCAACTCGGCTCTAACCCAATTACATGCACCCACGAGGGCATTTGCCGTTTTCCCGACAGGTCTCCTTGTAGCGGCCTTGTCGGTAAAATCCCGACTTGACTAACCACCACTCACCCCCAGGGCTTCGAGATAAGAACGGTTAAGGGGGATCCCGATAATCGCGGGACCCACGAAGCCCATAACACAAAAGTATAAAACCCAAAACCCTAGGGCTAGGACGACAGATTACACTTTTGAATGCTCTGGCTTTGAGGCTTGACCTAGGCAGAAACCCTACTCCATCCCTTGGCCGGAACAGTTAAGAAATGAACACTTGTGAGAAACAGATCGCTTGATTACCGATTGGAACGAAGTAATCAGCGCTTTTCTAAGTTGATTACCCATTGTAATTAAGGACTTACCCACTTTCCGTTGCATGAGGCTAAACAAAAAGCTAAGTTAAAAATTTAATTTTGCATGAAGATATTGACTCGTCCAAATGCTGACGGATAGAACTGAAAGATAATCCAAGTTAAAAATCCTCTTGGTGAATAACGAGATCATTTAAATTCGATCCAGTAGTGGTGCATAAACCGACATTTAAGCAAAGCATTCGCCCAAAAGCCGATGCCTTTAGCTAAGGATAATACTCTAGGTTAAAAATAGATCATCGTGTCGTTTAAGATCTGACTTAATCTAGGATGAGGGAAGATAAATTTAGTTTAAAAAGGAGATTTCTATCGCGCAAGTTCCGATCACTCCAATTTCTAGACCAATTGGCCGCCGTGTAGCGCAAGGGCTGACCATACTTATTTTTAAAATAATTTCAAGTTAGATGCTCATATTTGACTTGGGGTAGCCATCTGACTGCTGACCTTAACATTAAGTGAAAGAACAATGTGAATGTGAACTTATAGTTTTGGGCGAATGGGTTGGCCAAATTTCGATTCTAGTACTCGGCAAGATTGCTTATCTCCGCAACGAATGAGGTGATCGGCCAGATGCCTTGGCACTATGCCGATCTCAATAATGAGTGAGACAATCACTAGTTTACCGATCAATCCCGAGTTTGTCTTCGAGTTATTTATACTCGCCCAGTCGGATTTTTACCGATCAATCCCGAGTTTGTCTTCGAGTTATTTATACTCGTCTAGTCGGATTTTTACCGATCAATCACGAGTTTGTCTTTGAGTTATTTATACTCGCCCAGTCGAATTTTTACCGATCAATCACAAGTTTGTCTTCAAGTTATTTATACTCGCCCAGTCAGATTTTTACCGATCAATCACGAGTTTGTCTTCGAGTTATTTAAACTCTCCCAGTCGAAATTTTATCGATCAATCACGAGTTTGTCTTCGAGTTATTTATACTCGCCCAGTCGGATTTTTACCGATCAATCACGAGTTTGTCTTCGAGTTATTTATACTCGCCCAGTCGGATTTTTACCGATCAATCACAAGTTTTAGTCGCTTCTGTATGAAAACATCGAAAATCATATGGAAACAAGAAATAGTGACATTTATTGACTAGAAAACTTATTGGATTGTGGTGCCTCGTTAAAAACCTTCTCAGCAAAAACCCCTCTTATTTTTACGGGGAAAAAATACTGAGTTAGGAAAAGAGTGCACCTAATACAAATGTAAAGAGAGATTAGCTATAATAGAAACGTAAGTTTGCAGCGTTCCAAGTTCTCAGTATCATCCCTCCATCCAAGGTCCTCAGTCGGTAAGCTCCCTTGCCGACCACATCATCAATTTAGTACGGGCCGACCCATTTAGGTGACAGCTTGTTCCTTATCTGTGTTAGCTGAGCACGCCTCAAAACTAGGTCTCCTACAAAAAAGTCTCTCGGAACGACCTTTGTGTTGTATTTGAAGGCTGCTCTTCTCTGTGCTGCTACTTGATTTATCCTTGCTCTCTCTCTTGTCTCTGCGATCAAGTCCAAATCAACTTGTCTTCCCTGGTCGAATTTTTCTTCAGAAAAAGCTGTAGTGCATACTGAAGGCTCTGCAATTTCGATCGGGATCATGGCGTCGGTTCCGTATACCAGATTGAAAGGAGTATCTTAGGTCGACGAATGAACAGTTGTGTGGTACGACCATAACACTCGGGGAAGCTCCTCCACCCATGAAGCGCCTGAGTCTTGGACACGTTTCTTCAATCCTGAAAGAATTACCTTGTTGGTCGACTCCGCCTGGCCGTTAGACTGTGGGTGTTCAACGGAAGTGAATGTCATTCGGATGCCGACCCCTTTACAAAAATCACGGACTCTCGCACTTGCAAACTGTGTCCCATTATCAGAAACGAGCACTCGAGGGACTCCATACCTGCACACCACACTCTTCCAAAGGAACGCCCTAACCTTCTTTGCTGAGATGGTTGCAACTGGCTCCGCCTCGATCCATTTGCTGAAGTAGTCTACAGCTACTATCAAGAATTTCAATTGCCTTACCGCTATCAGAAATGGACCGAGAATATCAATACCCCACTTGTGGAAAGGCCAGGGGGATAAGATTGAATGTAGTCGTTCAGCTGGGGAATGGTGCAAGGTTGCATGTCTTTGGCATCCATCACACTTTTGGACCCAATTGACGCAGTCGTTCCTCAAGGATGGCCAAAAGTACCCTGCTCGGGCAACTTTGTACACCAGAGCTCGGCCTCTGATATGACTTCCGCACATTCCACTATGTACTTCATCCATTACTCTCTGTGCTTGCGACATGGTCAAACACCTTAAGAGAGGAGAGCTAAAGCCCCTTCGGTACAGCCTTTCATTGATGACTACGAACCTGGCCGACTCCCTTTGCACCAACGATGCCTCCCTTTTGTCCTCCGGTAATTCCCCCTGAGTCAGATATGCGATGTACGGTCCCATCCACGAATTAAGCTCTTCTTGGATGAACAGGACATTCCCTTGCGCTTCGTTTATACTCGGCTGTGTTAACGTCTCCTGGATGACCGACCGAGTAGCCCCTGGCTTCTTTGTGCTTGCTAGCTTGGACAAGAGATCGACTCGTGAATTTTGCTCCCTAGGGACATGATTCAGCGAAAACTTGGTAAAGCTAGCCGACATGACTTTAACCTTTTCCAGGTACCAAGCTAGTTGGGGATCCTTCGCCTGGAAAGTTCCCGCTACCTGCCCCGTCACAAGTTGTGAGTCGCTCCTAGCCGACAGGCTTGTTGCACCCATTTCTTTTGCCAAAGCTATCCCTGCCAATAGCGCTTCGTACTCTGCCTGATTGTTGCTAGCCCGAAACTCAAAGCGTAGCGACTGTTCCAAAAGTATACCTCCTGGGCCCTCAAGGACGATCCCTGCTCTGCTGCCACCTAGGTTCGAAGCCCCGTCGACTGATAGGATCCACTCACTATCTCCGGAAGAGTCCTCCTCAGCCGGTGGGATCAGTTCTACCAAGAAATCGACCAACACTTGAGCTTTAATGGCTCCTCTTGGTTCGTACCTGATTGCAAACTCAGACAACTCGATCGACCACTTCATCATTCTGCCAGCAAGGTCGGGCTTTTGCAACACCTGTCTGATCGGGTAATCTGTTCGGATAACCATTTTGTAGCTCTGAAAATAGTGTCTGAGCTTCCGTGCGGTTATGACTATGGTAAGTGCCAACTTCTCGATCTTTTGATAACAAACCTCCGCCCCTTGCAACACCCTGCTAACAAAATAAATAGGCAGTTGGGAGTTACCTCTTTCTTGCACTAAGACCGCACTGACGGCGCTATCGGATGCCGACAAATATACAAGCAAAGGGAGATCGGTTTGTGGCTTGGTAAGGATTGGTGGTGAGGTGAGAGCCTGTTTGAGTTCGCCAAATGCTCTTTCGCATTCATCTGTCCATGCAAACCGATCGTTCTTCCTCAAGCATTGGAACAAAGGCAACGACTTGTCGGCTGCCTTTGAAAGGAACCGAGAGAGGGAGGCCATCCTCCCTGTCAACTGTTGGACTTCTTTTACTGTCTTCTCATGTTGATTATCGCGGAGCACTTATCAGGATTTGCTTCAATACCACGATGAGTCAGTAGGAACCCGAGGAATTTTCCTGCTTGGACGCCGAAAGAACACTTTGCGGGGTTCAACTTGAGCTGGTAGCGCACTAGGGTGTCAAACGACTCTTGCAAGTCGAAAAAATGCCGACACACGCTAGGCGACTTGACAACCATGTCGTCCACGTATGCCTCCACATTCCTTCCTAGCTGTTTGGCCAGCACCTTGTCCATGAGCCTCTGGTACGTCGCCCCCGCGTTCTTCAAACTGAAAGACATCACCTTGTAACAGTAGGTGGCCTGGTCGGCTATGAACGTTGTTTTATCTTCATCGGCAGGGTGCATCCTGATTTGATTGTATCCCGAGTACGCATCCATGAAGCTCAATAATTCATACCCCGATGCGTTGTCGACTAGACAATCTATGTTGGGTAGCGGGTATGAATCTTTTGGACAAGCTTTGTTTAAGTCGGTGAAGTCCGTGCACATCCTCTAGTTTCCATTGCTCTTTCGTACCATTACGACGTTCGCTAGCCACGTCGGGTATTGGATTTCCCGAATGTGACCAGCCACCAACAACTTCTTCGTCTCCTCGGCTATGGCTTTCTTCTTATCCTCCCCAAACTTTCGTCGTTTCTGAATCACCGGCTTCGCATTGGGGTCGACCATGAGACGGTGACATAGGAAGTCGGGGTCAATACCTGGCATGTCGCCAGCACTCCATGCAAAAGCCGATACGTTGCTCTTCAACACAGTCAGCAACCCTTCTTCGTCTTCTTTAGCCAGAGATACACCAATCTTGACCGTTTTGCCTTCGGCCAGGCTAACTTCCTTCACATCCTCCGCCGGGGCTGGTCGGGAATCGAAGTGGATCATCCTCGGATCTAACTCGATTGACTGAACACCCGATCAATCTGCGTCACATATAGTTGCCTCCTCGCCCTCAAACTGTCCTCGTAGCATTTCCTCGCGACTTCTTGATCGACACATAGGACCCCGACCTTTCCGCTAGGCAAAGGATACTTCAGCTTCAAGTGAGGTGTGGAGACGACTGCTCCCAATTTATTCAGCGTGGGTCAGCCTACTAATATGCTGTAGGACGACTGGGCGTTCACCACCAGGTATCGAACAGTGATAGTCTTCATGTTGTCTGGCTTGCCAAAGGTTGTCTCCAAATCGGTGTACCCCCTGGCCGTTACCTGATCACCTGCAAAACCAACTAACGTACCTGCATATGGCATAAGGAGATCGGTTAGAATTTTCATCCCGACGAAGGCTTCCCAGAACATTATGTCTTCCGAGCTACCTTGATCCACCAACACTCGTTTCACATTGTAACCCATGACAATCGCCGAAACGACTATAGGGTCGTCCTCATGGGGAGACACACCCTCAAAGTCGGCGTCCGAGAACGTGATGGCTGGCCGAGTAGGTCTCGCCCAATCTGAGATTGATAACACTGATCGAGAGTATCTCTTCCGTGTTGTTGACGTCGGACCTCTTCCAGCAAATCCCCCTGCTATGGTGTTGAAGTCTCCATGGACAGCTTGCTGGTGAGTCTCTGTACTTTTTTCTGGAAGATCTCTAGGGGGAGACCTCCCTTCTCACCTCCCTCTTCTCGTGTCTTCTCCTTCACGCCTGCGTCGCCTGTCGGATGAACCTTCATATTGCTTCCCTGCAATGAATTTTTTCAGACGACCCTCCTTGATAAGGCGCTCAATCTTTCTACCGAGAACGAAGCAATTCTCCATAGTGTGTCCATGGGTCCGATGAAATTCGCACTAGTCGGTTTTGTAGGGTCCCAACTGGCGGTCAGTCATCGCTGGGAACTCGAAAAGTGACGCACTATTAACGTCATGCAGTATGTGCCGCCTGGGAACGTTGAGTGGAGTAAACTTCTCTTCTTCCTTGTTGCGTGTCCACTCGCCCCTTGGCCGACCAACATGATCGGCCTGTCGGTAGTTGCTCTCCTTCGTGTTGTAACGGTCACGACGCTTACTCCAATCCGACCGCGGTCGGAGATGCTTATTGTCCTCCTTATTGTTGCCCCCTGTTTCTCGGCTCTCCGCTGCTCTCTTGTTGATCTGCCCTTCCTCCGTCTTAATGTGGCTCAGCGTGAAGGCTCTCACCTCCGACATCGTCTGGCAATTTGCTCTTTCCAGCGCGATGTCGAAAGCTCCAGACCTCAGGCCTTCAGGGACTCCTCACGCTGCTGTTTGAGGTCGAACAGGTCCGACGTGATCGGCGGTTTCTTCTTGTTAGCAGCGAATTGTGCCATGAAAAGCCGACTGAAAACATCGAAGTCGGTGATTGATCGGTCGGGGAGGCCGCTAAACCAATCAAGCGCTGCCTTTTCGAGTGTGCCCATGAATAGTTTGCAGCGGACTTCCATGCTCCCTCTGCAAATCAGCATCTAAGCTCGGAAATCCGTCAAGTGCTGGCTGGGGTCCTCCGTTCCATCAAAAGAGTCGACTTGGGGAATCCGATGATCCCTAGGGATGATCTCGGCTTCTATGGCTTCCGAGAAGGGTCGGAAATCCCTGGGGCCTTCCATCATGACGTCTCCCTCCACTGTCCTGGTGCTGGCCGTTATTCTGGCCTGCATCTCGTCTGCGCGCCTCCTGATCTCTTCGTTTTCACGTTGGATGGCCTTCTCTCTCTCCCTGGATCGCGCATTCTCCTCTCTCAAGCCATTGATCATGGCCATCATCTCCTCCATGGTAGGGGGTTGTGAGTTGTTGTTGTTATTGCCGCCTCTCGCCATGGTAAAGTGTAGGTTTCTGGTATTTCTTGGGGCGTAGGAAAAGTTTCACCGTAGCCCCACGGTGGGCGCCAAAATGTTCCGGCCAAGGGATGCGCTAGGGTTTTTCCTAAGTCAAGCCTCAAAGCCAGAGCATTCAAAAGTGTAATTTGTCTGCCTAGCCTTAGGGTTTTAGGTTTTATACTTCCTTTGTTCATGGGCCTCATGGACCCCGTGAATGGGGGGATTTTCTTAACCGTCACCCTTTTGAAGATATTTGACGATCGTGAGAATTGTGGATAAGGTCTTAAACGAAATTCTCCATGCCGAGGGGGTAGTCGGGTTATGGCCGAGGGGGTAGTCGGGTTCTGGCCGAGGGGATAGTTGGGTTCTGGCCGAGGAGGTCCTATTGGTTTGAGGTGTCGGGATGGGGTCGAGCTGATTCACGTCGAAGTGACACTCGGGCGTTAACCGAGTGACCTACCAAGAAAGGATCAACCGAGTTCCTAGTCGGCCTATCACCAGGGAGGGTGTAAGGTCGTGCTCCGACTGGGGCTACACTCCGTTAATGGAAGTCGATCGGGGATTAGCCGAGACATTACACCTTTAAAACGACTCAACCGTTTGGTGATAAAGACACCATATTCTTCACCTTTTTTGGACCTCCACACCTGAAACTCAGAAAAAAAAAAAAAAAAAAAAAAAAAAAACCCACATGCAATGAAAGAGATAACATCCATGCACCAAAAATAGTTCAATTGAAGTGCTAGAAACAACATGCATTCATCCGATGCACCAAATCAACCAAAACCCCGTTTTAGCCTGAAAACCCCAAAAATGAGAAAATCCCTCAAATTAGCAATTCAACCTCCAATTCATGCATCAATTGAGTTTCTAAATTCACATGCAACCAATCTATCACAATCCTAGCTTCTTCTACCTGAAAATTGGCTCAAAACAGCCAAGAAGAGGAAAAAGAAGAAAAATTCCTAAACGATCGACCCACAAACTTCAATCCGCCAAAATCAAGCTTTCTAGCTTGAATTCAAAGAAAAGACAGAAGAAATTAGTAATCTATAAGAGAAGAGGAATCAAGTAGAAAAATTTGAGAGAAAAAGGATCCCATGAATCCAAAACCCTTCTCTTTAAAACTTCTCTCTAGATTCTCTTTGAGAATTAGCTTATGAGGTTTCATTCTCAAAGAAAATCTTATATACCATTCTTTCTAAAGTTAATTAAATTCTAAATAATTAACTTACTACATTATTATATATATATATATATATTGCAATCAAATTATATATATATATATAAGGAAATATTTATATAAAGGATATTTTGATAATAATATTCTTTTATAAAGAAAGTTAATAAAACTTTTATATAAAATTTAAAAATTAAATAAAATATCATATATTATCCTATCAAGATATAGTAATTTTAATATAAGATGAGAAAACAACATAATATTCATAATTTTCAGGGAAGAAAATTTAATTTACTCTAAATAATAACATTTTAATATTAAATAAAAAAATTATATTATTAAAAGTAAATATGTTAAAAATGTGTTATTAACACTCTTCTTGAATCCACCTTCACATAAATACCAAATTTGTAAAAATAAGAAATAATTTGAAAGCGTTGAATCATTGTTTTGACTTTTGAAATTGAGAAGAGTTGGGTGATGATGGAATTAAGTAGATCATCTCCCATAAGAAGTCTTAAACGAAAACGGCTAAACCCTAACAGTGGAAGCGCAGAGTGTGTGAGTGTGACAAGACAAGAAACCATGAACAAGACTGTTCTTCCTCAATCTTCATCCAACAAACCTAAGCCCCCTTTCAAGCCTGCAAAGGATGACACCAAGCCCATGCTTCAAGACCCTGTACTCTCTCTACTTCATGTCTTCTTGCCTTCTTGTGCTTTCATTCTTTATTATTTACTCTCCTTTTTTTTTCTTTTGTTGTTTTTCAGATACTGAGATCCGACCCAATTGAAACAGAGGAAGCTGTGCTGCGATTGCCTCCATTCTCAATCCCCACCTCAACTTCCCCACCTCAAATGTCCTAAATCTTTACCTTTTAGGGTTTTATTTTGGCTTTTAAATTTTTTAATTTTTGGGTTTTGAAATAAAGGCAATATAGAATTAAGAAAATGAACCAGAATTTTGTTCTACTGGGTTGTAACATGTGTTCAAACAATGGAATAAAGGATTTAGTCTTTTCTTTATGTTCCGTTACACCATACATTTGCATTAATTCAAGTGTATTCTTGGATTTCGACAATTGAGAGCTTCATTGTTAAATGGCACGGGATAACAAAGGTTGGTCTAGTTGGTAAAGATAAGTTTCATGTCCCACCATGACATGAGTTTGAATCTCGTTGTTGATGTGAAGATGTCATTGGTTGGTGAGTAATCTATAAGTAGCCTTCATGGTTAAATGCCATCGCTAATTGGTAAGGATAGACATCAATTCCCCCACTATGACATGAGTTTGGATCTCGTTGGAGTGTGAAAATCTTGTTGGTTGATGACTAATCTACAAGTAGCCTTATAAGTGTTTTTTTGACCCGTGGAGCCTGTCTTGACTCTGATGAATTCTATGAATTCAACTCACTTAAAAATAAAAGTGTTCAATAGCATGGCATGGAATACTTTGTTAGTCATATTCAATGCATCTCTTAATCAAATATTACCATTCATCTAATGGATAGCCTTTTTTATACTTGCTTTTCGCTTGGAAAGTTTCATCTTGGAAATTTTATGTCTGGCTTGAAAGTTGAAAGAATAGTTTTACTGCTAGACAGTAGTGATGCAAGAATAATGAATTAGGATTTACAGCCCGTTTGGTGCTTCTCTGGTTATGTCTGTCAGATTGGGAATTTCGAATACTCATTGTCAGTGTACACGCTGCACCATCATGGGCTTTATTTACTACTACTTGATATCACAGTAATCAATATTAGTAGTTGACAGTTTTTTGAAGTTGAATTTCTTTTACAGCTAGAAGATGCTGTTGTGCTGGTGTTTATTTTGGAGTTTTGTGAATGAGGAATGTGGGATGGCTGTTTCAAAGTGGAACATTTTATTTTTCTTTTCAACCGCATTCGATGGCATGATTTTGTCAATGTTTTGATGACTGTGTTGAAATGATTACAGGTTCAACAAGTCATTTGGTTGGTCCCTACAGGCGACAGTCATTAAGTAATCAATCTTTGTATAAGAAAAACTCAAGTTTTAGTCCTTATTCATCCTGATTAGTATATATTGCTCTTTATTGTTACTATGTTGCTAAAGTTTTAGTGTGAGGGTAACTTATAGGGGCTAAAACTCAAGTTTTTTTCCCCATAGATTGATTCATTTGTAAGTGTCATGTATAGGGACCAAATTATTAGTTTAACCATGATTATATTTCATGGTGCTTGTGAATATGTCACTAGACTAGCTTGAAGATTCAACGATGGAATATGAACCTATAAAATACTGAAGGTCTTTGTATATGATTGCCGCCTTGTGTGGAATTTGTCTTCTCCAATTTTTAAATTGTGATAATCATTTCTAGTTTGAGAAGTCCCTGCAGATTGATGTCTTGCAAAATCCAAGTAATGGGAAAGTAAAGAGAATGAATTGTGTGATTGTGTTCTTTTTTCTAAGATTTATTTTGGCCCATCTGTGACTACGCTATCCCTTATATTGGGTTTTTGGTTCTTACAGCTTTGGACATAAAAAACAAAATAACTTCTCATTAACCACTTTCAAAAGAAAAAATTACAAAGAATAAAATAAAACAAACTTTTTATTAGTTAAAATTAACTTATGCATGATGTTAAAAATATCTTTTCTTTGAAAAAGTTAGTAAATATTTTTTCTACAAATTAACTTATACATAAATTAATTTAAACTTATAAGAAATTTTGTTTTATTTATTTTTTCTAGAAGAGTTTGTAGAAAAATTTATCTTAACGGATCTTTATCTACTTTTAGGATTCATCTAACTATTGATTTCATCTACTAATAGGATTCATTTTCATCTACTTTTAGGATTCATCTAACTATTGATTTCATCTACTAATAGGATTCATTTTCATCTACTTTTAGGATTCATCTAACTATTGATTTCATCTACTGATAGGATTCATCAAACCAATGGTGTCGTGTGATTAATATGGTGTATTTAACCTAGAGAGAGATTATTATTGATGTAGTTATGATTCATCTAACCTTTTAGCCTATAGCTTTGCAAAGATATAAAAGAAAAATGGTAATGTTCATATATAGCAAAATAAAACCTATAATTGGTTTTTAAATATGCAAAGAATTTTTGGTAGATTAACTAGTATCCATGGAGATTTTAAACAACATATTGGGGTCGGAATCGATTTTAAAAGTTGAACGCACAAGCAAACATATGAATGTGTTTATATATTTAAACAATATATATATTGGTATCTAAAATTCTGAATTGATTTCTTAATGTGCTGACTGAGAGTAATGTTTCATCTCAAAGTCCACTCCAATCTTTTTAATTTCTCTGTTGCAAAGGAGAGAAATTCTTCTAATGCCAATCCAAATCTCAAAGGTTTAAACATAAGTACTGGATTGACTTAAAAACAACTAACGATTGAAATTGCTTGGTATAAAGAAGGGTCAAAAATAAAATTAAGAATTAATATAATTATAATCTCCAAGTAACATACCTGATCATGAAATAAGATAGGTTAAATTCAAACAAACCTATTTGTTTAAGTAAATAAACTAGTTTGATCAAATACTGAAGATTTTCAAATGATTTACAAACAACTTCATTCATTTCGAACAAATGTAAGCAGTGGATTACAAAATTCGTGCGGCTAAGAGGCGAATATTGCGATTTTGGAAAAAATTATCAGCAAGCTATTGCTTAGGTTTTTTTTTTATATTTTTTTCCTGAAGAGCATCTTGCTATCATAGTTGCAACTAAATAGTACATCCTTTGGTCAAGAAAGGTTTATTAGCATTCCAACCTTTCTTAAAATGATGACTATGTTTCATATTTTTGGTCATGGAACACAGGACCCAAAACAAACTTGAGCATACTATGACTCACATAAAAATTAACATATGGGACTTACAGAATCAATTCTACTACAGCTCCTTGATATTTAATTATCTTATCCCTTCAGTTTTACAGGACTTACTACTTGGACACTAATGAGGAAATCTTCTGTTTCTCAAGATTCCCTGATAAAACATCCCAAAGAAAAAGCAAAATCTGTGACTAAGGACCTGTTTAGATAAAGTAAATATTTCATCTATGGAGTTAATCAAACTACCCCCAAAAGCAACATGTGCATGTGATTACCATGGTCCTAACCTTGTTGCTATAGCTTTGCTGCAGTCAAACCTTAACTACATTGTCAACTATGAACGATGAGGAAAATGCAAACAAATTAAATAAGCATTTAAGCATCATTGAAAAGTAAATGCCATCTATATAATGAGTTTAATACCAAGTTACCAACTGGTCTAAGCGCAAATTTTGTTACAGGGTGAACAATAACTAATCAGGTGGCTGGTTCTAGGTCAGCACCACATTACAGGTTTGTTAGAGATCTCACAATCCCTAGTGATAAAACTATATAAGTGAAGAGTAATTATCCTGCACAAAGATAAAGTAAAGTTTATAACTTTCTTAAAATAAATAAACAATTGTTCAACGTCACATAAACGACAAAGCACCTGATCAGGCAGTCAGAAAGGACATATACAACAGGGTTGTTCTATTCCTAAGTTGTATTATTAGCTTCTAATTGTTATTTTGTCTCAATAGTAACTGAAATTCCACAGGAATAAGTTAACATGTTCCCAGAAACATCGCAAAAAAAATGCCAGGATTAACATGCTAAGGTTAAGATATAATCCGAGTAAATTCCTCAGTGGCTGGCTATGCTTATGTATTATCAATAACACTTAGCCTATGTGAAAAATCATTATTTCAAACAGCCAAGCCTTGCTCACCCCAAACCATTGAACAAGTATGCAATTTCCAACAAGTCCAGGTCCAATTTTCTCTTATCTGTCCCATGCATTCTCTGGTCATGAAAAGCCAGACCTTCCTTAAATTATACATGTTGTCAATTGTTACCTCCTTTCTCTGTACCTGTAACATACCCTTGCCAGATGGATCCCTTGACTTAACTCCCCTTTTCATCTTACAAAGATTCTAGCACAAAGTTCTAGAAATTACTTGCATAAAATTCAGCAACAAACTACTTCCCACAAGCTAAACGTATTCTTTAAATCAAATTTGAGTTCATGAATGAAGTAGCCAACAAAATATATAATATACACAAAAGTTCAATTCACTGTGAAAAATAGTCTATTGAGACAAGTAGACTCACATATGCTCTAGCCTCTAGCAGCTTGCACTTGAGAAATAAATCCACATGCTCTGGATGATCATTGTCCCCACTATATATCTTGGTAAGGGATAAGCATACATGAAACTATCATGTTAGGGGTAAGCATACATGTCAGCTAATGGGCACAAAGGTAAACTACGATCCTTAGGCTGCATATATTTAATTCTCAAATCAAATCCATGACAATTGTAATGGATTCTCATAGATCAAAAGGGGATTACAATAATGGAGAAAAAAGCAGACGTTAATCCTCATATTTGAACAAATTCTTTTTGTTCAAGATGAAGTGAACGTTAGAATACAATAAGGGGTTTAAATTGTTTTCCTTTTAAAATTTGTTCTTTTATAAGTTTGTTATTTAAAAGACAAGTCTTCTGAGTATTGGAACTAAGTATATTTTCTATAAAAAGTTTCCAAATTTACTTATTTGTTTTTGAGAAAGTGTCTTAGATACTATTAAAACAATTTTAGTTTTAGTTTGAATTAGTCAAATTAGTTTTTTATTTGAATAAGTTAATTAATTATTTGATAAAAATATGTTATTGTGTTGTTAGTGAATCAATTAGTTTTAGGTTTTATTCTTCAATTATTATAAAAAAAAAACTCCTAATATCATGGAATATATTTTTTGTTTGGTTATTTCAATGTATTTAAATTCAAGTTATTCAATAAAATTTAATATGCTTCTATAGCACAATACATTATCTCACACTCATTGTCTTCTCTATATATTATTCTTCCTTATTCCAAATTTAAAAACTCAACAATTGGTATTCGAGCTCTCTTCTTGAAGGACCCATTAAATAGATTTTGAATTAAGTTTCTCA